TGTCAGCCACTGGTGTACCTGCTGAACAACCACGCACCTTGTACATATAGGAAATTTTTTTGAAAAAGATACTGCATAAAATGGGAAAAAATTGCATTTATCCCCAAAGGTGTACCCAGTCTGTTTATGGTGAACACTCAGATAGAGATTACTCCTTCTAAGGAACGAGATTTATCTAGGGATCACATCTAAGGTTAAAATAAAAACGTATCTCATTTTAGGCTTATTACTGTTGTTATCACTGTTGTTATAACTGTACATTAGAAGCATAGTTAGACTCAGGGAGAATCTCACTCAGTGCACTGAGGAGGATGTGGGGTATACGGCAGAATACGACTTTACATCATTAACAGTGTATACAGGAGAAAGGAATCCAAAGCTAGAAAAGGCACTCCTGGATAACTATCAGACACGGGTTCTCTGTTACCTCCTTTTATGTTTAAACCCCTGGTTCTGATTGGGCCCCTTTAAGAAGAAAATATTTACCATGCTCACAACAGTACCAGATGAAATTACCTGAGCACGAAAAAACATATCAAAAACCGTACACCAGTATGCAAAGTAAGTATCCAAATAAGGAAAAACATCAAGAAATATTCTAAATGCTTTTATTATAGGAAAATCTCAAAATTTCAAACATATACAAAAATAGAGAAAATAATCTAGTCCTATGTATCTATCACCTAGCTTCAGTTAACAACTCATGTTCAATCCTGTTTCACCTACACTCCCACATTCACACCCCCTCATTATTCTGAAGCAAATCCTAGAGATTAGATCATTTTATCTATAACTATTTTAGTATGTATCTCTAACAGAAAACAATACTCTTTTTTAAAAAGCAAAATTGTAATAGCATTTTTAAAAAATGTAATACCACTATCACACTTAAAAAACTAATGATAATTCCTTGCTATCCAGTCAATGTTCTCTGGCTAAAGAATTCTACCAACAGGACTACTATTTCTACCAATAGGACTACTATGCTGCCTATGCCACTCAGACCTTAATACTATTTAATGACCACCCCCATGGAAAGCTGGTATTAGTGGGCACAGAGATAAGAAAGGGGAGAGGGGGACGCAACTACTTGCCTCATTTCCTCCTGGAAGCCTGTTCATGTGGACCAGTTGACCTTGATCATCCAACACAAGCTCAGTGTACGTCAGCATGTCTGAAGGCAGGGGGGGTGATGGAAGGAATGCTTGAGTGGACATAGACTCCCAGAGTTTGATCAGGGACTAAAGGAGGAGAAAAGTTTGACTAATCAGTAACAATTAGCATTTCAACATGAACAAAATAAATATTAAAATATCGTCGGTCTAGTTTTGCTCTTTCTTTTCCAAATGTTCTGCTGAGTGTCTAAACGTTAGACCAAATTCCAGAGCTCTCATTCTCAGTTGAAATAGATTTGTAGTTGTCTTTAACATAATGTTTTTTACAGGCCAAAAATCAGGCACTTTTCCAACAACATCAAACTACTGAGTGATCAGGAATCAGAATGAATCAGCCCCTCTTTAAAAAAGAGAAATCCTAGAGAAACTTGGCTACAGAAGAATGACCAGGAAAGTGACATGACACTCGTTTAATACAAAGTAAACCCAAGAACACAAGAATAGAGTTTCTACTAGAGGTTCAGGGGAAGCATCCTCTTTCTAATATCTTTTCAAAGCTACAGGCCCATACACGGGAATTAGCTCACTAGAGATGTGTATGACTGTAAATGTGCAAATCAAGTCTGCTCAAATTTGAGAAAACAGAGAGACACACCTATCATTTTAAAACCATTTCAATTTCCACTCCCAACGTCATATTACCAAAAATATTGCTGCATGAAGTGGGAACTAGTTTGTTTCTCTGCTTGCCTCAAAGCAACATTTAAAACCAGTATGACTCATTCATACTTACAAGTCCAAATCACTGTGTTTATGTCTATTCTATAGGAAGAATTATACAGAATGTGATTTCTCTTTATGGCACTGGCACTGGGGAACAGAATCAACACTCAACTTCTAGGCTAACAATGCCGGTAATACTGAACGAAGACAGCTATGTTTCAAGGGAGAGATCTTGTAAACAAATGGTTACATAAAGGAAATCTCTTGTATTTCTGAATAATACAGGAAGTACAGAAAGACTATTTACTAAGACCGCATGTGTTACTTTATTAAAATTCAAATGTGGTAACACTGGTATTTTTGACTAGGAGACTTGGAAAAATCCTATATTCACAGATTTTTTTTTAAGGACAAATTCAGTATTCTTTCGATACACTAGTTTTTATTCAGCTATAATAAATCTCCCACAAAAGAACTGATAATTTAAACTGTGTACCATGAACTCTATATCCATTTGTATATGTTATATATTGATTCTCATCATATTAACCTAGGTTATCAGTTAGAGACCTGGGTTATCTTGGAAAATAGGAAAATGAGAACTCGAGTTTCAAATCTCTTTTTGATTTGAATATAGGCTTTGGAAATAGACACCTAAATGTAACTCCTTATACCAGTCATCGTAAACTACCATCGCAGGCATGTGGTCTCAGTTTACTCTTTTCTACTCAACAGAGGCCTCTATTCTCACCATTCTTCCTGTTAATTCATAAAGAACCACCCAACATCTGAGTTGGCAGTCACAATCCCAGAAGAGATAGAAGTGAGAACAGTGTCAAGATATTTCCTGCCTTTTGGAAGTGCCCTATTCCAGTCTAAGCTGCATCTGATGAAAATTCAGGAAAAATCTTGCCTCTTTGGCACATGTCAGATCACCCCCTCCGTTAGCCACCTTTACCTGCCGAAACATCTCTGGGATATCATATATGTATGTTGTCCCCAAGGACTGTGCCTGGAACCTCTTTGATTGAAGCAGGTCTTTGGTCACATATGGAGTGTTGATTAACATTCCATGTAATGGTCCCTGTTTGTCTCCATATGCCTGAAACATGATCTGCAGGAAAAAAGAGGATGGCATGGGGAGTTAAAAGACAGGGGGAAAGAAATCAGATCAGCTGCCTAGAGGGACTTTTCTTCACAAATGTTATTTCTTGAAACACATTTTTGGTGGGTTGAGTAGCTAAGATATGCCTCTTAACATTGGGTACATGATGCTCTCACCTCTCTACAGATTAACCAACTCCAAAAGATGGTATGTAACCAACCACACATCATACTTTTGAAATCAACAAGAAAGCACAGCGTAAGTTTCACATTTCAGAGACAGACTGACAATGCTTGCCTTCTAAAGTGACTTGAATCCCATATATTCAAAAACAAAGCATGTCAACTAACCAACTAAGCAGTTCTAGTATTTAAGTTGAGGAACAGCTAAGCACTAAAGAGAATTCTGTTCTTTCCCCAGTGGTAGAAGGCCAGGTTGAGGCTCTACCAGGTCACCTACACTTTAGTCTATTTGATTAGAAGGTGCTTCATAAGTACGATTAGCTATATAAAGTCTTCAAAAATTTCTGACACAAGTGGATTTCATCCATCCATCTAGCTAGCTAATTCTTGTTAGCTCATAAGACACAGCCTGTAGTGAAAAAAAAATAATTAAAAAAAATATAAAATATACATACATATTTCCCCCAGTATACTATGTCTACAACTAGTGAATAGCTCCTGCAATACCTATATTGTCACATAATAAAATCACTACACCAGTTTTTAATTATTTTAACTCAAATATTTCTAGAAGAGTACTTCATATTTCATATATTTAGACAGTTTTATTTGCTTATGAATATTTATAAGGGATGCCATTATTTCAATTCAATTAATATTTATTGAGTGCCCAGAGGTTGTATGACACTAAACTAGGCACTTTATGCATGAATACACAAAACATAGATTCCCAATGCAGTGAATACAAATGCAGATTGGGATGTGAGGATATGTGTGTATACCCACATACTTATTCAGGCCTAAAATATATAAGCTTAAGTCTACCACTAATGAATAGATTTGCAGACCTGCTAAACAGGCATTAGAAGAGAATTAAGTACTCTCCTATATCCTGGGTACAGTTCAGTTAAGTGAATCCTTAGCCCTTTAGATCAGAGGAACAAATGTGTTCTACTGACTTGTCAATCAGGTCCTATTCTGGGCAAAACTTCTTGGGCTGCTTAAAGCCCACCAGAACGGAGCTCTCAATCCTCCTGCACGTGACCAATGAAGAAAGTCACCAGGTGGGAGGTAGAATTAGCATTGTCTTAGGAATGTGAGAGGTGGAAATAGTAATGTTTCAAGAGATTCATAGTGTTAAGTGAGGCCAGGGTGTTGGTATGTGAAAACTGGACTTAAGAGGAGATAACCCAAATCAAAATAAGAAAAAAAGGAGCAAAAGCAGTAGGTTCTTGGAACTACATTCCAAGTACATACCTATAGGTCTCATCTTTCTATTAGATAGAAAGATAGGTACAGCTTTGCAAGGTCTGGAATAAAGTCAGGCTGGTCATTTAAGCAATATAACTGTAGGCACTTTCACTGCTGGTGGGAATTTAAAATGGTACAACCTCTTTGGCAAACAGTTTGGCAGTTTCTTACAAAATTAAACATACACTTACTATGACTCAATAATTATACTCTAAACAGAGTATAATTATTACTCTAGAATGTTCTCTCTAAACAGAGCTCTGAAACTTGGTCACTGCCAAGTCCAACTGGGACTTAAGTAGATGGGGCAGGTGTTCCCTCGTTGCTCTAAGCTTTATATCAAGACAGCTTAGGGCCCCTAGTTTTCAGGGGTTGGCGAGTTATTTTAACCAAATGGCCTTAGATGGGATTTCTCCTTATTGACATACTAAAGCAAAACAGAATTTTTTTCCAATAGCGCTACAGGCAGCTAGGACATACTACTCAAAATTAATGTTTTCTTAAATTAAGTACACTTTTTATCTTTGTAGCCACTGCTTGATACATTATACGTGGTCAATAAATGTTAAATTAATGAACAAATGAATGAATGATACACATGGTTCTATATTGTTTTAAATTCATATAATGACTCACTAGAGCAAAGAAAGGGAAAAAACAAATTGGCAAGAAGCATCAAGTAGGCTTTCAGGGTGCCAGAACTGAGTTAGAAGCTGTTCCTTTTGTGGTCTCCCTCCTCTAGTCGTGGGCTCCTGAGTTCATGCTTGGCAACGGCTGTTGAATCTCACCTGAAGAGCCTCAGGGAGACCCCCTTCCTTCAGGGCTTACTAAACATCCCGCACCCATGGTAAGAGGGGTGCTCCCTCAGGCTAAAGGCAGCTCATTCATTCTTTCAGATACTTAGTGAGTGCTTATTTTGTGCCAGGCACAGTACTAAACCCTGACTGAAGGCATCTGCTCCTTTCATGCCCCTGTGTCACCACTACCCAGCATGAGGGAAATCTAAGAGCTTTCTAATAAAAGAAAGGGGGGTGGGAATAGTTATGAAGAACAAACGTATTTATCAAAAACATTAAAATCTCAAGTGGCCATCTTATTTTTCACAAGAATAGATCTGCCTTGAAGCCACTGCAGAAGTTAATTAAAAACATCCCTGCCCATGGGAAGCTTTGACTGAAAATGTCTTTAAGGTTGTCCTGAAAACATCAAATGCAGCAAAAAATTATTGAATACTCTTTCTCTTGCTCACCCCTTGCACTCTTGTGCACACTTTCTCTCTGTTTTAACTGTTCACTTCTCACGTGATAGGTTTCTCTGGCCATCTGACTGGGAATCAAAGCACAAAATGAAAGGTCGCTCTGACAAATGTCCAAACCTAGAATTTTAAAACTCATCTTCAAAATACCGGCAAAAAATATCTTTTCTTACTGCTGTTCCCAGATTTAAAAGGACATATATAAAAACAAGAGACACATAATCTCTTTCTGTCACCCAATGCATAAAACAGACTGAGACCTTTGTGTACACATACAAAGGAGCAAGTTCATCCTTTAATGAGAAGAAAGGCACTTCCCAAGTTCAGGCCAGAGACCTACAATTAACATCCCAGTTCTTAAAAAGATGTGAGCAACGGTGAACTGACCTAAATCCTGTATCATAGCAAATGGCCCAAATATTGAGAAACCAAGGTGGTAAAACAGATTAAAAGGGAATTCTTTGTTATCACAGAACCTATCTACTTAGAAAGTCACTTTCCATTTTCATATTCTCAATTTTTCTATCTGAAAAAATGGGTTAAAGTTTGCCACTTTGCTCTTTTATAGATACATGATACTCTGAACTCTTTGAAGGAAAGATAATGTATGTAAATGGAATAAAGGGTAAATAAGATAAAGTCACTGCTTGATATTGCTAAAGCTACTATTATATTATGTTGAAATTTTCCTTCTTTGAGATATTTCATATTTCAACAATTCCCCTTCCTTTACTTGCCAATGAGTGGTCTAAATAGGCTGAAAATGGGAACAAGGACAAATCAGATCAGAAAAGACAAGACTGCTCAAGTAGCCGAAGAGCCCTCTAAAAAAGAGCCCTAAACTGCACAGTTACCTGTGGAGTCAGGTTCACTTGGCACCTGTTAGGGCTCACCAATACATGACAAAAGGTTAAGGGTTTCATAACACCCATGATTAGGACAGTGGCACATCTTATGAGGCAAATGAAGTGTTTCAAATTCATGCAACCATTTAAGCTAAGAGAGGATAACCCCACTAGGTGAAACAATGGGATTTGTGAGTTTGGGTCTTTCTGTAACAAGGTCAAGTGGCTTCTCTCTAGGACCAAGTCAAAACTTTGAGGAGCCTGCTTGACTACTGTACCTGTGCGGTCCTGGAGTCAGTCACTTCCTTGTACAGGCTGATGTCCAAGTAATAGCCAGACTCGTTTGTCAGGAAGAGGCGGATGGGAATTGCTTTTCCAGTTGGTGTCAGGCGAATGTTGATTTTCAGTTCTGCCTGGAGGACACGTAACTTCCACAGCCGACTTCCATAGCGCATTACCATGCTCCGCACAGACTCCTCAATCTGACACAAACACATCGCCAAGCACAAAACTTAAATCCCCTGTAACTAGGACCTGTTTTGGGTCTGCTCATCTTTGGGAAGGGAGGAATGGGAAAAGATGCTGGCTTCCGGAGATGTGTCCTCCATGCATTCCTTACAAAAAGTCACAGAGTTTCTCCCCAACCCTACTCTTGCTTAGAACAAGTCAGGGACAATTTCATGCTGGCCTGGCATTTGAGTCGTTTTCTCTGGCTCACGACACCCAAATCCGCACAACTCCCTTCCCCTTTCCCAATTATATTCATATTGTATGTCAAAGATCTGCGATATCTAAAATTACAAATGGGATTTAAGAGAAAGCCCCAAATAATAGTAAAATCTCTAGTTAAACAGCTATTAAGTAGCATTTATATGCACAGTAACTATGTTTCATTGCACTTTCAGGACCTTAAATCAGCATAGCAATTACCACCATGAGCTTTTTTCCATACAATTTTATTAAACTTTATAATATATGCTTCTTGGTAAACTGCACAAATTAAAGAAAGGCAATTTGTAGGTGGTGCTAGAATGTTCTCTCTAAACAGAGCTCTGAAACTTGGTCACTGCCAAGTCCAACTGGGACTTAAGTAGATGGGGCAGATGTTCCCTCGTTGCTCTAAGCTTTATAACAAGACAGCTTAGGGCCCCTAGTTTTCAGGGGTTGGCGAGTTATTTTAACCAAATGACCTTAGATGGGATTTTTCCTTACTGACATACTAAAGCAAAACAGAATTTTTTTCCAATAGCGCTACAGGCAGCTAGGACATACTACTCAAAATTAATGTTTTCTTAAATTAAGTATCTCTCTAAAATCCTTTCTCAAGTTCTTAGAACATCTTTTTTGCGGTACGCGGGCCTCTCACTGTTGTGGTCTCTCCCGTTGCGGAGCACAGGCTCCGGACACACAGGCTCAGCAGCCATGGCTCACGGGCCCAGCCGGATCTTCCTGGACCGGGGCACGAACCCGCGTCCCCTGCATCGGCAGGTGGACTCTCAACAACTGCGCCACCAGGGAAGCCCAGAACATCTTTTTAAAAAATTTCATACCACCCTTCTCTTGTGGCTCTTCAGAAGTGTGTGCCACCTTTGTAGTTTTTTTCTGCTCTTAGAATGGATTTCAAGGAGTTAACGTCTCTATTCCCACACTTGCTTGTTAACCAAGAGATATCTATCCATTCTTTTTTCAAGGGAACAAAAGTCAACATCTCTATATACAGGAAATTGACAGCTATCTATGATTAGAAAGACAGAGCCAGGGCATATGAGTGTTTGGAATGGAAACAGAGAAGCTGATAGCAAAAACTCATTGAGAAATGATAGGTCATATCTACAAATATATATAGTTATACAGTGTCCAGGGCACGTTTTAAGTCTTCTAGTTTCATCAGTCCCAGAATGCTCAGGAGAACCTTTACTTAAACTGAATGATGAGACTTCATGAAACTCAATGAGTAGTCCTGACCTTGGCTTTCCTGACAGGTAAAGCAACCAATCAGTAGTTTGGAGTCTTGAAGAAAAAAAGTAGAAAACGATTTCTCAGGTCTTAGATGTTAAGTTCAAAAAGCAAAAGTCCATGCCCACAATAGGAGAAAGGGTTCTCCTATTCAAATTCCAAAATAGCATGAAAAGGTTAGAGAGAACACAAGCAGAGAGCAACCTGTCTTTATTACACCTGAGATAAAAGGTCAAGTACAGAATCACCTTGTTTTCCTTCCTTAAATTATATGGAATGCATTTTAGAATAGAGCCTCAGGGAAGAAAACATACATAAATATATGCGGAATTCCATATCAACCAAATTCTCTCTCTATGGAAAAATACTAAAGAGAACTAAGTTAGACACTTTGGGAAGGTGTATTACTTCCCTAAGGCCACCAGGTAACCTGTGAAAAGCAGCAGTAATTTTGCCAAAATGCCCTATAATAGCAAAGTTAGTTATCCCAGATGAGAAATCCTAGGGAATTAAATAAAATAGGACTCTGGTATCACAGCAAATATCATAAAACAGGTACCAACAGAAGAAGAGGAAGAAGTTTTACATTTTTCTGCTGCAAATAAGTGACCAGATTATTAACATCGTACCACCTTCAGTTTGGGGGTCTGCTTTCAACGGTTATAGCACATTTCTGACACCATCCCAGAAACCCAGTCCTACAAGCATTCTGTAAACTTTAAAGATCAAGGGTTCAATCAGCTGACTGAGAGTACCTGTTTCCAGGTCCAAGTGCAAAGAAATATGAATGAATCTCTCTGCTTGTGTTGGTGAGTGCTGGCAGAGAAGCTAAGGAGAAATGTACCTTTGAAGGGTCCATGATAACTGTAGGCACAAAGTTGAGGAAGATGTGGTTGCAGTCAGTCCGGACATTTGTATTATTAAAAGCGACCTCCAACTCATCCATGGCTTCTAGGAGCAGCCGCTCCCCTTCATTTTGTAGATATTCAAAGGAAGCTTCCTATGCAGGAAAGAAAATCACCACCAACATTAATGTGTTTTAAAAGAGGCAATAAAGAAACAGCTGTTAAACACATGAAAGAATGCTCAACATCATTAATCATTAGAGAAATGCAAATCAAAACTACAATGAGATATCATCTCACACCGGTCAGAATGGCCATTATCAAAAAATCTACAAACAACAAATGCTGGAGAGGGTGTGGAGAAAAGGGACCCCTCCTGCACTGGTGGTGGGAATGTAAACTGATACAGCCACTATGGAGAACAGTGTGGAGGTTCCTTAAAAAACTACAAATAGAACTACCATATGACCCAGCAATCCCACTACTGGGCATATACCCTGAGAAAACCATAATTCAAAAAGAGTCATGTACCAAAATGTTCATTGCAGCTCTACTTACAATAGGCAGGACATAGAAGCAACCTAAGTGTCTATCAACAGATGAATGGATAAAGAAGATGTGGCACATATATTCAACAGAGTATCACTCAGCCATAAAAAGGAACAAAACTGAGTTATCTGTAGTGAGGTGGATGGACCTAGAGTGTGTCATACAGAGTGAAGTAAGACAGAAAGAGAAAAATAAATACCGTATGCTACCACAGATATAAGGAATCTGAAAAAAAAAATGATCAGAAGAACCTAGGGGCAAGATGGGAATAAAGATGCAGACCTACTAGAGAATGGACTTGAGGATATGGGGAGGGGGAAGGGGAAGCTGGGACAAAGTGAGACAGTGGCATGGACATATATACACCACCAAACGTAAAAATAGATAGCTAGTGGGAAGCAGCCGCATAGCACAGGGAGATCAGCTCGGTGCTCTGTGACCACCTAGAGGGGTGGGATAGGGAGGGTGGGCAGGAGGGAGACACAAGAGGGAAGAGATATGGGGACATATGTATACATATAACTGATTCACTTTGTTATAAAGCAGAAACTAACACACCATTGTAAAGCAATTATACTCCAATAAAGATGTTAAAAAGAAAAAGAAACAGCTGTTATACATACTTAAGTAGTAGCATGTCACAAGCCATAAGGCACCTGCTGCAGATGTTATTTACCTTTCTCCCTAGGGTCAACCCAATGATCACAGGCAGCAGGGGCAGGCAAGGGTCAGATAAAGACCTGCCAGACCTTCCTCCTGCCTCTTATGTATCCTTTCCTTCCAACAGGTGGAGATGCTGGGCATCCCCAGAGCACCAACCCCACTAGGGTTATATCTCACATATGGCAAACAGAGCAGTTTAGAAAGGAAATCTGTTTAGAAAGGAAAAGCTGCAGAAAGGTTACAGCTATTGGATGCAGTAACAACTAACACACCAGCAAGCACCTTGCTATGTACAGAAAGCACCCCACCTCTAGACAGGTTTACGATGGGGTCACCTCTAACTCTTCTCCTTATCCTCTATCATCATCTAACCTTCCCTGTGATTTCTCTGTTAGCATGCTTTTTCATTTTCTCAAGCAAGTACTATCATGCTTCCACTACCAAGACAACTTAAATTAAAGGGGGAAAAAGCCCTTCATTACATGGAATATTTACTTCTGTGAGAGAAATGACTCTCAGACTTCTGCTGGTTATTGGAGAGTAGGATGAAAGGGAACAAGAGCCTTGATTCAAAAGAGGAAAACCTGACTTTGACCCATGCCTGTTTCTCTGTCCCTTCCCTCAGGGATAACTTCCCATTAAAGTACAGCACCCACCTTGGTTACCAGATCAGAATGTCTGATGATTGCACGGACAAAGAACCTGTAGTCTGTCACTTCTGTGCCCACTTCCACCTTGGCTGCTCCAAGGTACAGGTGCATCTTGTGATTAGCACATGGGATGGCAGTAAGGTCAAAATTTCTCATCCGGTTCAGCTCTAACTGGAAAGCTAGGGCAGGCTCCAGGTGACGGTAGATTCGATCTTCCTCAAACTGAACGCAAGAAGAAACAGCTCACAAAAGGCAGTTACAAAATTATATTATGAAAATGTATGTAAAAGAGATGCTTAAAAATATAAACATAAGCCATGATGTGCCAATGAGTCAAAACAGGAGCTACATAGGGGCTTCCCTGGTGGCGCAGTGGTTGAGAGTCCGCCTGCCGATGCAGGGTACACGGGTTCGTGCCCCCTTCCGGGAGGATCCCGCGTGCCGCGGAGCGGCTGGGCCCGTGAACCATGGCCGCTGAGCCTGCGCGTCCAGAGCCTGTGCTCCGCAACGGGAGAGGCCACAACAGTGAGAGGCCCGCGTACCGCAAAAAAAAAGGAGCTACATACAAGGAAAATGCTAGAGCTTACATAAGATTAGGCACTAAAGTCCTTGTTTACTTTGCAAGCTTTCATCATTTATGCTTTTACAAGTGGTGATGCTCTCCATTAAAAACAAACAAAAAACACCAATTCCCTCAGATTTCCTGTAGCATTTAAAGCCTTCATTATTCATTTTTTTAAAACAGTAAACCAGACTGCTTCACATTAATATCTATTTCACATACCAATATTTCAGTTTTACCCAACTAGTCTAAAACGCTTACGGGCAGGTCTTATACTCTTACCATTTCTGGCAGAGTAAAAAGGACATAGTAAATACTTGGAAAACAAACATCATACAATTTTTAAAAATAGAGATATTTTAAAAATATATTTAAAAATATATTTAATATTTTAAAATATTATAATATTAAAATTAAAAAATATATTTAAAAATTTTTTAAATAGAGATATTTGGCTCTGGACATCCTGTATCCATACATAATTATTTACCTTTTTAAAAAGTTGTATTGACATTTACTGTATGTTTTGTTGAAACTAGACATGTAAAGGGTATATGTCCATTGAGTGAATGGAGAGAGAGAGCCAAAAACGTAAGCTGGTAGTAGGAAGAAACCAACATGGTCTGAAATTTTATATTTTAAAATTGAAAAACAAATGCTCATAAACAAGACTTGAGGATAAACGAACTGTCTGTGGGTGACAAGAATAATCCTACTAAGTACAGTAGCCCTTTAATATTACATCATTAGGATTATGCTAAGGCATAGAGAAGATTTTGAAAGTTATCACTTTCTTTGGGTAGGTCAATACATTTGATTGTTTCCTAAACCAAACTCTTTCAGAAGGGGGCCTTTATTAGTTCTAAGACACATATAAGGCAAAGGGAAGCATACGTTCAATTAGACTAGGAAGGAGAATGGCAAGAAATACGGCAAAGATAAGCTACTCTTGGGCTTTTAAGGAAAAAACAAAGATTAAAAAAAAAAAAAGAGGAAAAAAATCAGTTCTTACCTTATCCCTTGCTCGGAATGTGAAAAACTTAGGGAATTCTCTCTGTGTTAAAGAAGGGGGGGAAATGTGTCAGTCCTTCATATATATGGCTCTTTGGGGATAAATACATAGTACAGAAACTGTCAAGCATCTAGAAGACAAGTGCCTAGAAAACATGTTCCTTACCTGGGCTTAGCCTGGGGAATATGCATGATCCTCTGGGTAACCATCACTTTGACCCCACTTACAAATTTGAGAACCACCACACTATTAACCTAACTTTAATAGCTACCCCCTTCTAGGGAAAGAAAAAATATGT